TCGTAGTTGGGCGTCTCTCTAGGGATATTTTTAAGATCTCTCCATTTCTTTTCTCTGGGTCTCTCTAGGAAAATATAGCTTTCCCTTTATTTCTAGTTTTTTCTATTAAATTAATCTTTATATTTATTTCTATATAATATATTTATCTATATTTATTTCTCTCTCATTCTTTCTCTATAATTATATCTATCTCTTTATATTTATTTATTATCGATTTCTATTTGATTAGATCTATCGTTCCCTAATTCTTTAGATTTATTTATTTCTGATTGCTTGATATTTTATTTCATTTGAAATCTTTATTTATTTGTCTATTTATTTATTTTTATTTTCTTTTTCAATCTAATCTATATATTATAAAGATATGAAAATTCTGATCGATAAATAGAGTCGAATAATCTAAAATTATTTTCAATGGCATGGTAGGAGATCGAATTATTTTTCTCAAGATTATTATGATGGACAAAGCTCGCAAATAAATCTTGATATAGATATATGATCGAATATTAGATTATTAAATGAGGATTTATAATAATAATTTCGTGGGAAAGATAATTGATTAAGGTATAGATAATAAATATAGATATCATATCTTTGATTTTAGATATCTTTTGATAGGCGTGGGCATTTGATTTCATTTTAGCGAAGGAATAATTATGCGTACGATTTGGTATAATCCCCCATATTATTATTTCTTTTTATTACTACTATAAATGATGAAGTATAGTAATTAGCGATTTTAAATATCGAATTTGATTATACTGCATGAAATATTCTTTATATATAGCCGTGACCTAAGATATAATAAATAGAAGTCTTATATTTCTCCGTCGTTGTAATTCTTGTCTTATTAATAGGAGTCTATAGAAAATCTTCTAAAATAGAATAATAATATTAATATGATTTTTTTTGAAATCAAATATTTAGTTTTTTTTGAGACGCTATTTTTGATAAAGGAGATATATTAATATTGATTAAGAAATCAAAAATATTCAAAAAATAATTTTCGACTTATATTTCGATTATAATATATATTGATCGTAAAAATATCTATAATTTATCACGTAGATATAGGGAAAATAGTAATTCGTGTCCATATATCTCATATCAATAAGATCAAATAAATTTTGATTTATTTCAATA